AAGAGTAATCAATGTGCCTTTTTTTTTTTTTTTTTTTGCCGGGGGGGAGGTTATTTGGTACTCCCTGCTTCTACTTCAGCTGGAAATGCTGTAAGAAGAGCTTCTCTTATGGTATGAGATTTAAAACTATTATTATTTTAGTATTTCTCATTCCATATCTGGTGGAAGCTCAAAGAACCAAAAACATGAAAAAGTAGCATTAAAGGGTCTTTATCTGAATATTATTTTTGAGGCCGATTGCCTTTTTTCTTTCTCTTTAATATATAAAAATTCATTTAGAAATGTCTACGAATGGCAATTTGGCTTAAGATGTATAAGTGCTCTTCTTCTGAGAACTTCAACCTTTTTCTTGAAAGCAAGTTGGATAAAATTAGCTTTCCATCTTTGGGAGTCTGGTTACTTAATTTCTTTATGCTATTCAGTGAAGAGTACATTACTGACTAGTAATGTACTATATCAGACACAATTCCGGGGAAGTAAACAGGGGCTGATCATTCATTTAAAAATGTAATTTAGTAGATGAGTACATATAAGAAAATTTCTTGGTCGAACATGTGTTTCGAGGATGGGTGTTTCTGTCGCATGAGAGTTGCTGTTATCTACAGGGCTGGCGGTTTTTGGATCAACTGGGAGGCTTCCTCCCTAGTAATCAGCAACTGAACCAGAAGTTTGAAGCCTAAAGGCAGCAGAACAAGTCAAGAGTTAGAACTGGTATCATATAGCAAAAGAGGAATTTTGTCCCTTCTGAGAAATACAGAGGTTCAAAATGCATTTATTTATTTAAATATTCCACATATCTTGTAGTATCCTGGAACAGCACCTCTAGATTTTTGACCAGTAGCAAAAGCGAGTGTCCCTAGAGTATCTATTGCTAGAACTGCATCAAGCCCCATTTATGCTGGGGAGAAATTTTCCCCATATTTTTGAATATTGAATAAATTGAAAATAATAAATATTAACTGATAATATATATAATTTGCTGTTTGATAGCAATAGCTTTATTTAATTACATTATATCACTAATCTTGAAACTGATAAATGTAAAGGCAGGTGGTGAAATTGTGAAAGTCCTTGTTTTTTTAATTCCTGACCTCTCTCATTCAGTCATAATAAAAAAATTCATGCCTCCTAGTACATGCCTGGTTGTATGTGAGAGGAAAGAGAGTCTCTGGCTTGTCTACCTGAGTGCTGGAGAGATAGCAAAATTACCTTACTGGGACTGCTGGTTAGGAAGACCAAAAAGAATTTGCCATGTTATCTCTTGTGAGAAGCTAGGGTTGGGATTCAGATCTCTGCTTAGACTGACCTATGCCTTAAGAGCTAGGTGATGGGTGCTCTGAGAAGGGTGAGATGAAGTACATCCAGCTGTTTCTCTGAACAGTGTTTCTCTGAACACTGTCCCGTCAAGATAGATGCCTATGCTAGCATATCTGGTCATTCCTACCCCCTGCCCATGTTCTTGGTCATATGTGCAGGTATAAATACATTTTTCCATAGGTAAAATAACTACTCACAGAATAAAAATTTCCTTTTTTTTTTTTTTTTTTTTTACAAAAATGAACCATAAGGTTAACTGCTGTTAACTGGTTTAATGGAAGCATAAAGTACAGGAGAAAAGGTGTGCTCTCAAAATAACAGCATGCACTGAAGTACTGGATGTAGTCTTTTCAGACAAATGTGTTAGAGCCCGGAGAATGCTTCAAAGAGGAATCAGCTATTTTTAATCTTCCTTTGACAATGAATATAATCAATAAAATGCAGTATGACCAAACAGTTGGTTCCTCAGTGATTCTCCTGAGCATACTAGTGGAGAAGAGATTTTAATGAAAATTTCTAGTGCTCAGCCTATGCTTAGTTTTTGTCCTTCAGTATTGACCTACTAAATTGAGTTGAAACTCCTGGCTGCATTGATTTTTCAACCCACTGATCACAGAGCTTATGTGAGACTGGTCCCAGTATATATCCCTGTTGACTGACTATTGACCCTTATAGCTAGCCTCAAAGAGAGCTGAAAATTCAACTCAGTGCAGAGAAGAATTACCTTCCCACACCTCCTTCTAATCCCCAAGGCTGAAGCATTGGTGCTTGCACTCTTGTCCTCCAATTACTTGCTCTGGTTATAAGTACAGAATGCCATTTCTACTTCTTCCCTTTCACAAAACATATTTTTTTTTATTTTATGCATTTTTGTTACCGTGCCGCCAGTCAGAAGCCAGGACTTCACTGTGAGAGGTAGTGTATTAACTAGAATGAAACCGGTTCCTTTCCCTGCCTTTACAATTTGAGTTAGGAGAGTTAGGCATCACATAAAGAGAATCAAACACAGGGGCATTGAATTGGCATTATATAGCTGTTAAGTCCTGACTCCTCCTTAAAATGCAAACAAAAGCCTTGTAAAACAATGGATCAAGTATTAAATACCAATGTTGTAGGAATTATAATTCAGTAGATGCCTTGTGAAATGGATGTTACCCAGTACCAGGCAGTGGATTTTTTTTTCTTTTTTTATTTTAGGGGAGTGTTCTGTTGCAGTGCAAAAGCTCTAAATTACTAAATTACGTAAATATTTAAGTGAATGGAATATTGCTTGCAGACACATAGTTCCCAAATAGTTTGGATTATTCATTTTTTCTACATTCTCACATTTGCCTGAAAAAACAGTTCTAGTGCAGGTAACAGTTTCTTTTTTTTTTTTCTGTTTTTTTTTTTTAGAGAGTATTAAGTGAGTGTTATGAGGAATTCAAACTATTAAGATAACTTAAATATTTATGTTCTATCTTGGCTCCTAGGGAGTCAGTGTTTAAATACAACATAACTCCACTATTTTTATCTTGCATTTTGGAAGCATTTAACCTTTTGGTTTTTTTTCTATCTGTGCTGTACTTGAGACTCAGTATCAGGGGAAATTTGAGTTGTTCATACCATCTAACATTCTATCACAAAACTCTGTAGAATTCTTGAAAGAATAGTAAGCTTGCTGTAAGATTTATAAAAAAAGATGGTGGGGGGAATTGGCATGAAGCCTTTTCTGGATAGGGTCCATTTATATGAAGCCACTGCAGACCACAAAGATTTTTTTTCTTGTGCTTGTTATTCTGTAGAAACAGATGGGACCTGAAGGCAGCATAGGGGGACATGGGATGCCAAGTGCCCATGGGTGACAGGTACCGCTAGCCAGAGCGTGGCACAGAGCAGGGCTGGAGCAGAGCATGACTCTTCCTGCCCTATGTCTGTGCTGGACGGAGCACTGACCCGTTTGGGCAATGCGGTGTGAGCTCCACCATCTCCTCCAGGCTTGCCTTTAGCTGTATTATTCTCCAGGTCCTTTGAGATTGTCTATCCTGTGTTCAGCTAAACATCTATTGATCCTAATTTAGCCCAGAGACAAAAAAGACGGATGCTACAGGATATCTTGGAAGAACAGTGCTATTAAAAAAACAAACCCATGATGTTTGTATTTTATTTTTAGCTTATTTCCTGTTGTTTCCCTGTGGTTGCTGGCTTTGTAACAAAAGTTTCCTTTCTAGTTGTTTTGCTTAAAATATACATATATTGTGTATATAGACATCTGTGTGGCAAAGCATCTTGATGTGGTCTTGCCAGATCATCCAGTGTCTTTGCCAATGAATAAAGTGCTGTTGGTGCAAATTCCCTGAGGATGAGAACACACTCTGAGAGGGTTACTCTGCAGGCTGTGTTCCCAACATAAGGGGGTGGTAGCATAGGCCATCTTTCCTCAGACAGGCCCTACACAGTGGATGTCAGTTCAGTCTTCACCCAGACACAGACTGTCTCTCCTCCACTACTTCACAGCAAAAGACAATCTGTCTGCATAAGTCCCTGGTGGTGCTTCACATAATCATGAGTCGTTCATCAGGTGTTACTCCACTTATGCATATTGAAAATGAGGTAGGACCTTCAGATATTAATGCAGAATGCCATCCCTTGAGGCATCAGTGGGTTTTCCTTTCCTTGTCTTTCTATTTTTTTCTCTTTGAAGTGAGGTTATTGAGTCACACAGAACTGAGAGAAAATGCTTAAGACACAAGAGACAATATTCAACTTCCTTATTTCTTCCCCTATTCATGTCCTGACCAGGCAGTCCTTGTCGTCTCAATTTCCGATCTCCTCCCTCATACTCAATCCCTTCCTGAATTTTCCTGCCTTATGATAAAACCACAAAACCCATCCGATTACTTATTTAGGCATATTGTTTCCTTTTCTTTCTGAGGGAGAGCCAATTCTCATAACATAAATACAAGTTATCCCTGTAAGGATAACCCGTAAGTTCCAGCACATGCTCTGTTGAACATATGTGTTACACATTTCATGAGTATTAAGAATAGGTTTAAGTAGGATTGTTTTCCCCCGGTTTTTCTATTGGACACTTGCTGGAGCTGGGAAAAAGACAAAAGTTGTCAAAAGCTGACTTTTTTTTTGGTGTTTATTTTCACATTGTATTATTATTGCTAAAGGATGTACCAGAACTAGAATTATTACACAGTACTACATGCTGTGGTTTAGGTCCAGCATCACATCATCATTTTGGCCACAACCTCCTGTCTGATGACAGATGAGGCATGAGTTATCTATATTTTGCTTAAACTGTACTGTTCTTGGCACATTTGACTATATTTTTGTGGTGTTGTAGCTGCCTCTCTGAAGAGATTTTAATTCTGCAGTATTTAAGTGGAATTAGAATGTTCTGGCCATAGAAATAGCACCCCAAGGCCAGATTTTGACTTCTGGCCTTCCAGGACACCTGTATTTCATCTGGAATATTTTGGTCTTATGCTTACACATGAGTCAGCTCTCCATCTGACTCTGCATTGGATTTGATATCCATAGCTTCAATTCAAGATCCTCTAACAGAGTATCTGGACAATAAACCAAATCTTAGAGATTTTTCTATCCTTTGGGCATAATGGTACCCATGGTACCCATTGAAGTCTGCTTTCATGTGTTTTGTCTAAACTCTTTTCATTGTCTTCCTTTCTTAGGTATTATGACAACTTTACCCAGTGCACAGAACGTGAAGCCAACAATGCAAGTTGCTTTTGGCCAAACCCCCTTGCAGAAGGCTTTATCACTGGAATCCATAAACAGTTCTTTTCAAACTGTACTTCCGAAAAGGTTCACTGGGAAGATCCACCAGATGAAATTCTCGTAACTCTGATATTAATCCCAGTCATGCTGACATGTGCCATGATAACGCTGGTAGTGTGGTGCAGTAAAAGAAGTGATATCCTGGTTTAAGTTCCTCCTCTGGGCATTTTTTTTCCCATTTCTTTCTTCTAAAAAAACACAGAGGGAAAAAAGAGGAACAACATAATCTGCAAATACAAAACCTGAGAGATGCTAAGAGAGACGATCTTGTGTTCAAACATCTACTGCTGAAAGTCATTGCTTCTGAGCTGGCTATCAGTGCTGCTGATAGAAAGCTTTCTACTAACATCAGGATTTATGATCATGAAGTTCATAAACAATACTGAGAAGCAGGAGAGTCCTCAGAAAAACTGACCTGTTAGCTACAAGAGGGGTAAAATTACTTTCCAGTAATTAAAGCTGGTTGGTGAAGTATGTTCTCGAAACAATATGTAAGTGTATGTATGCATGGTACAGCATCAGCTCTGGGGGAGTCCTCTGGAGTGTCTTGAATAGAAGACTAGCAGTGAATGAAGCAAATATGGATGTAACCAAGTGGCAACTTTTTCTGGAAGCTGCTTAGCATCATTATCAAGAACTGGAAATATTGGCAAAAAGAGCAATTTGTATGGCCGGTGACTATCCCTGCATGCCATGTTATAAAATAGTTCATAAATGCCTTTCAGGCATGGCTAGTTGGAGTTGGATGGATTACAGACTTTGGGAAGGATACAGATACATGTACAGGATACATATTTCACACAGCTGGAAAATGTGAAAGGACAGAGGATGATACACTAAGGACCAGTGAAGAAACTTTCATACACCGGACTATTTTTTCTCTTTTATAATTATTATTCTTGATGACTTGTGTTCATCGTATAGTCCCCACTCTTGCTTCAAATTGCACAAGTGATGCCCTGCAAATAAGCACAAGGTGTGATGTTGATTGAGCTGCCTTTCAGGGAATAATTTCATAGATAAATCAATTTTCATCATGCGAAGAACGTGGGAACTAAAGTATGAACATCAAAAAGTTATGAACATTGTTTGGGACAGAGAAGAAATATATCTGATTAAAAGTCTTATTCAATAAAGCTATTCCTATGTAACAATTTAAATAAATATCATATGACTAAAATAAATGTATGTATTGTAAACTTTTCTTGCCTGTCATTGCACAAAGGGCCTTCAAGTCAAATACTCCATTATGAGTGACCAAATTCTGTTACAAGTGAGTCTCCATTTTTTCCATACCCTACACCCACAAGTAAAAAGCAGCTGGAATAGTCAAGCAATTGATGTTTTCTACCCATGCCTCTGAGATTTTTCGCCTTTAAGATTCTGGCATAATATTTCAGATTCAGTTCTGTTTGTAGAAGTAAATCTAGTCCTGAATCAAAATAGAACTGCCCTCTTTATTAGAAGGGCTCATGTACAGAAAGATAAAGAGTACCTGTAGCTGCACTGTTTTGTTTTCACATCCTTTCCCAAGAATAGAACACAGTGGCTTGTTATTTTCATTACCCTTGTGATAGAATGATTCATTTTGTAAGGTGTTTCCTGTGTATTTTTCCAAAGATGCTCTTTAATTCTCTGAAAGCTATTAGAAGATTGCTCTTTGCAAAAAAGTGAACTATGTGGTAATATGTGGTAATAATATATTTTTGTTTTCTATTTGACTATTTTTTTTGAAACAACATGTTTTGGTCCACCAAAACCATCAGTGAGCTAAAAAAAAAAACAAACTCATTCATTTAATACAAAAGAATATTCATTTAAACATTTTCTATAGCCAAAACCAAATTATTCTCTTTTCTGTATTTTTTTTTATTTGACTTCTTCCAAAACATATTCATTTCAGTCTAGTTGCTAATTTAATTTGTTATAAATTCCTGATCATTCCTGGCTCATTTGAAACTAATTTTACCTGTTCAAAAAGTCCGCAGAGGGGTATCAGCTAGCCTAATTCTTTATAACCCAGATTACTCTGGAAATTATATGGAGGAGAAACACTGATGCCATTATGCTGCCATGTGTTTATTAGTGTCTTTAAACAAATGTCATGTTTAAATGAATTCTGTTTAATTTGAAAATATGATCTAATGTATTATTTTCAGAAGAGCTGAAGAAATGTGAGATTCAAGAAATAAACAGAGTAAATTTTTCCTTAATAAACTTGTGCTGCTGAGAAGAGAGGGAGGATTCTGTAGCTTCAGTGAGTAATAGATGTGCAGATTTATTCGGTTTTTCTGTCTACTCCACTCAGCATAGAATCTTCCGCTATTTATCAGCTACATGTAATGCAGAGAAGCTGAAACAGTGTGTGGGAAAAGACATCATTAATTTAATGCAGGCTTGATGGTTAAATGTGCAGAAACACTTGTAGTATTTGTAAGGTAATAAGCAACCACAGTGTCCCGCTCTTATAACCAGAATGGTAAATACTGATTCTTTTAATACAATGTATACTATGTGTTGGTAAGAAATAATTCTATCTAGTGGGTTTTTTTATTATTTTTTATTTTTCTTTTTTTTTCTTTACTGTTCAGAGCTACCCTTCCCCCAAAGCCTGTGTACATGGCCAAGAAAATCATGCCTGGGGCCAAGAATCTGGCTCATTTTGTAATTGCAAATTAATTTTTTTGTTACAGCAGTGCCTCAGAAGAAAAGAATAAGAGAATCAAGGAGAAAGAAAGTAAGCAGTCCCAAATCATTTCTAGAATTTAAATAGTGGTTGTTCTCTAGCAGTGCTTGGGCCAGAGGAAAAGCGTCAGCCTTGGCAAGTAGCTAGCAAACACAGACAGCTGTGCTGCTGTAGACTTTTTTTGCATGCAGGAAGAACAGGGAATGTCTTTATTTCTTATAGGGTAGAACAGCTTCAGCAGGGAGCTTGACCAGTCCCTACCTACACTGGTCCCTAGCTACCTTGGGGAATGAGACCTGGGATCATCCTGTCCTCTGGCTATATTTCCTCATAACTGCTGTAGATGATGGTGTCTCTGCCAGTCTAAATGGCATCTGTGGATCCTAAGGGAAGACATTTAGCTGCCTAATTACATTATTGGGATCTTTTGGGAGCTGATGTAAGCCGTATCTTATGCTTGAATCCTTATAGATATAAAAGTACAAAATTCCCCTGGAATGAAGCATCTTGGCCAGTATTTGTAGTGTCTGTTCCCAAGGGCAAAACAAATGTTGCATTTTTTTGCTTCCTGTCTTGGCAGGAGAAGAGCAATTAGTGACCAACATTGCTTCTGAATGCAATAAGACGGGAGCTCTGTACATAGTTAGACAGAAACACATGCATCGTTACTTAAAAATTGAGGAGATACTTCACAAGCTATTTAATTTCAGTTAAACCAATCTCTGTTTCTACCAAGAACTTTAAATGGTACTGGTAGCTGTGGAGCACATTGGCTGCTAGGTATTTAGATGAACACTCAGCAAGAGATTTTGAAAAGAGGACCACAATAATGGTGCCTAATGGGAGTTCTCTGTCCATACTATCTGGGAATGGAGGTGGGAAAACGCCTTGTTTCTGAATCTCGGTGGAGGCACAGGCAACAAATAGGCACAAATCTGCCTAGAGCTGCCTGGGAAAAAGATAGCTGCTCTGAAATGTATGGAGCTTCATTAATGTGTTATTCTTCTTGACTCGGCTTTGTGAGGCAGCTCCTACTGCCTTGTGCACAGAGCCTTACTAATGCAATTAATTACCTGACTAATGGACTGGAGAAAGATGGAAACATGGGGCTGAAGAAAATGTGTCTTTGTGGAGTTTCCGCAGCCAGTGCGTCAAGCATGTGATTGGGATGTGTTTGGGTTATTTGGGAACCTCAGAACCAGCAGCAATATAGCTGGAGTTATTCATTCTTGTTTGTTACAGAGCTGTCTGAATTCCAACTCAACCCTTCAAGGTGGGATTATTTTTTTTCAATCTCAGTTTAGAAATCTGGAGGATAGGTATTGACTTGTGAGCAAAATTCACAGTCACCTCAATCTAAATAAGACACCTGTTTTAGGTCAGGTTAGTGGTGAGAAATGTGCCCTGGAATGCATCAGCTGGATCTTACTGACAGTCTCACTTTATGGAGTCTCGGCTATGACGTAGATATCTAAATGATAGAGGAGGTAAATCATAATCCCAACTACCTTAGTCCTCTGTGCTTTGGTGCCCTACTTGAAAGGGAATCTCAGGTGTTATGAAGATAAATGCATGAATGATAACCATAGTGAATATACAGATCATATTTACGATAGCTAAGTATATTAGGTATTGACTAATATATTAAGCAACTGATAAAAATGGGAAACAGATTCAGAGAAACTTTTCAGCTTTCAGTTCATTTGGCTTTTTCTCTTCTTCATTGTTGCCTCTCTCTGCCCTGCAGTTACTCTTTTAAAACACTAAATGAACTAGAAGAGAGAAATACATCTCTGTTAAGACAGAGCCTTATATGTGTGCTGAAATGCAACCGTATTTCCCCTCTGTGATTGACATTAGCATGGATCTTTTGTCACCTTCATTGTCCTGCAGCTCCTAGCTAATTCAAAAGCAGTTCTTGCCTGACAGTTTCAGTAACATTAAAGCTGCAGAGTGACAGCAGAGAGGAGGCTGTTTAGCATACAGCTCTGTAGAACTGAAATACGTTGCTTGGCTTGGAAGCTAATTAGATTGTTTCTTGGGGAGCTCGCCAAGACA